TGTGTGTATATATATATATATACACACATACATATTTCTTATTTTTATATATATCAGTGGTGAATTTCATTCTAAATCTCCATCCAAAAGAATGTTATAAGATCAATGCTTTAACTTTTAATCTTATTAGCAGTCGTTTGCGCAACTTCTGATTTATGTCTGCTGTAGCCCCGAAGGCGAAAAGCTGAAAACCTTCCACCCGACGTAATAGCAAAAAAAAAAAAAAAAAAAACCATAACTTCTGTTTCTTTTCTGATAAGGGTCTTAAATACCAAACAGTTAGCTGCTTAATAACATTCACTGTAAAGCATGCAGCCTGCCCAGCAGATCCACAAAGTAGGTAAAGGGAGGGAAAGTTAATTTCTTGGCTGAGTGATCCCATCGGTAGCTGCAGGGCACAGGAGAAAGTGTTTCACTAAAGTAGCAATTGATTCTTCTATCAATCTGCGGCACGCGCCTGCTCTTCCAAGGAATGTATTAAATATGAAAATCATATCCCGTTATCATCTGTTTCCAGCTTTCAGCCTGGTAAGCTTCCCTTAATGAATGCTACAGCCTAAGGGACACGCATACTGCCAGGGACGACTGCTATGCATAATAGAGTGATGGTACCATTTTGCTCATTACAATATCTGCAGGCTGGGGGGGGGGGTTGCACACAGTCACAAGTGACTGCTCTAGACGGAATGCTCCAAGTTATTATGAGATGTCTTAGACATTTCATCTAAAAGAGCTTTAACTGCTTTAAGTGAAGGAATAAGCCTCTATGGACTTGAACTACATCGTTTACACAGATGCACCAGTCAGGATTACACACCTGCATTATTACTGATATGCAACTAAATGCGTTCCCTTTTTCCCATCCCTCTGTGTGAAGTATACTTTTGTTTATTGTCACAATACTGATAATAAGCCATGATCTCATAGGATATGTGTCCTCGGTGCCAATTATCAAACTGATGATGATGTTACCGTATTGTAAAACGCCTTATTTGCCAAATCTCTTGCAAGGGCTTAAAATATATATATATTATCAGTATTTTTTTCCTTAAACTTAATAAATTATTCAGTGCTTGGCAGTGTTATTTCCACGGTTCATAGAATGTCGTTAGTGTATTATTTTTGCAACTATAAGGTTTATTTGATTAAAGACTTAATTAAAAACACAGAAATTTAGAGCCCACATTATGGACCTTCTACACAGAGGTTATGCATTGTCCATGTTTTTCTAATTCCTGGTGGTTCCAGGGTCCCCTACTTATGGCACATAATAATAATAATAATAAAAATGACAGCATATCTATTTTCAACCACCTTAAATGATGCAACGAATTCAGAATTATTTGTATCATCACAGAAAACTGAGTCTAATTATTCATCCTACAGCAATTAGGTTTCCCACGGTCACATGACTTCACCTTACAAATTTCAGCTTTGTCCTCTTTTGCATTTCTGCCCTTTCCCATCAGCTGCTCTATGTGATTCCGACATTTATCCTGCATATAACCATGAAATACTTACATAAGACATCTGCATGCCACACAATGTATTCTACTTACAAATGCTAGCATCTTTAAGTATCTATTTTAGCCATTTACCCTGTCTGTACACATAGATATTTTCAAAAATCATTCAAATTGCCATATATAGGCCTAAATATTACAAGCATAACAGTTACACATTGAGAGTAACTAATTTAGAATATTTATAAAACTCCTCCACAAGTGGCTTAAAAATTAAACAGAACAGAGATTTTTTATATAGTATATAGTTTATATATCTTATATATATTAGTAAATAAATAAATTACACATCTAAAAGACATGATTATATCCCCACAAGTCTGACAAAGATAACTGGTGGGAAGATGGACAGACATTACAATATACTGCAATTATCATTCTATCATTTGACACAAATACCAATAACATATTAGAATCACTAAACAAAAGTATTAGAAGCATTTACCATTCAGCAAACACACTGATAAAATAAAATCTTCAATGTGTTCAAACATGGGGCACAGCATCGTAATTCCCCAATGAGTGCACTCCGCTTTGGTTACTGACGGTTTTAATCAATTATCTGAGTCGCCAGACTGATTGTCTTAATCCGAACTCCAATTAAACAGTCTAATGACGCTGTTAAGGACAGTGGGATTAACTCCCCAAACACCCAGCCATTCCGAAGAGATAATACCTGGTTTTCTCAACCATAAATTAATGCACACATTTATTGACATATGTAATTTTAACCTTTGTATGGGAAATTTCTGACAGTAAATCTAAAAATAGAGAAATATTATTATTATATTTTTATAATTATTTGCCTTACCAAAAAAAAAAAAAAAACACTTAACTGTCACCTCAAGCACAGATGTGTTTTGCGTTTGTGCACAAAATAAAACAGAAGTGGGACAAAGACCTTAGAATTATTACTAATTTTCTGCTATAATATACACAGCTAAAGAAAATGTTAAAGAAGTGGAGAAAAACACATCCAACAGATCAACTAAGAAAAACAAAGCAACTTCTTAGGGTGAGAAAATAAACTTCATCTCTAAAGCACTTCAGTGTCTCAATATTGGACAATTACTGCAGCAAGGAATAATCAAGCAGTTTTGTTAATTCGATGTTGTGCTTTCGAGCACCGTGCTTCAGCTTTAAAGCAGTGATCTAAGTCAGTTGAAAAGTATGATCAGCATGACAATTGCTTTGCTCTGTTTGTTCTCCCAGTTTGCTTGTGGCAATAAAGCTCACTGTTTACCATTGCTATGCAAGGCAAATTACTGGAAATTCCTCTAGTGCTTGCAAGGAAGATGCACGAGTCATTTTAGTTTAATTGCATTCAAAATAACAAGTTCAACTTGTTATTTCTTCTGCAAAGAAAAATATACTGTATAACAACATTCAGATAAAAGCCCAATTATACTTAGTCGATTAAACACTGTAATTGGATGAAAAATTAGAAAACATTCTGAGCTTTCAGAGGACCACTAAGAAACAATGACCATTAATACAAAGAAGCAGATCTACAATCTGAAGCTGAAAATGCCTCAGATTACAATTCCAAGTTTGAAGCACTGCACTACTCCAATTGAGAATTACATTCAGTGTTCATCTATGCACAAGACTAACAGATCTCATGTGCATAGGGAGCCATAGCTTATGCTGATTTTTGTTCTATCCAAACTATTTAATTAATTGACTTAATTGGTCCTGATTCAAATCTGACCATGATTTTTGAAGATTTATTTGTACTGGTCAGAAAGCTTTAAAAATGTCTTTTTCGGTCCTTTGTATAATTTTACAGTGCAAATCATGATGGTTCATTATTTTATAAAGTAAATGACCTGGTAGTTCAGTGCCCTTGAATAATTAAGTAATGATTGATTTCTGCTAAATTAAGCTGAATGGGTAATTTTACTGTTGATTGTGATCCGTAAATCAAGGACTAAATCAAGGATGCATAGTTGTCTTTTGATTCACACAATCGTACCCATAATGTGACAATTTAAGGGAGTTGTGGCATTGACTTAGCAATCAAATAGAGGTACATAAGCAACTCAAATAAAGAAAAACATGTAAAATGGTGCTTCTCTTCTACAGATGTGTTTGAAAAAAACTGAAGGTTCAAAAGGTAGTTACTGAGAGCAGTATGACAACTCGTCATGGAGACTCTCTCAAGCCGGCTGCTCTTGACAGTGGATGAGAAAACATGACTGGGGTGGTACCTTTTCTTGGTGGAGATCGCTACGCCCTGGAGACGATGCCCCTCCACGCGGACACATGTGCTCCACATCTTTCATGAGATCAAGGTTCCTTCTCTTGGCACGCTTCTCTCGTTCACACACGTTCTTCAGATAATGCTGCAGCTTGGCAGTGCTCATCTGACAGCTAAAAGTGTGTGTGTTGGGGGGAAATCAACATACAATTATACATGTGTATTTTCTAAAATAAGTAAGATCACGTTCTGCTGTTTTGTTTCAATGATAAACAGCTGCAGCGAGTTTTAAAGTACACCGCACAGACCAAAAAAAAAGATAATAGTTTTCCAAATATTTTGATAGTAGTCCTGCATTTCCTTTGTATCTATGAAGTACAAGTTCATTCATATTGACCTACAAAAACTACTGGGAAAAAAATCACAATCCCTTGGCCAACAACACTTCTGTGAAATGTTTATTTACACCTGGTATCGGGAACTGACAGAAACAAACTAATGGAAACCCACATGCATAATATTAAAACACACACACAAAAAACAAGGTTTCAGAGCACTTGTACCAAGTGCCATCGTATCAGCATTTAATGACATGCAAACATCATTTCTAAAAGTTACTTCGCTAATTGTTTCGAAAACAAAAGTTCCTGGCGGTCAAGTGTCATCCAAACAACGTATGGACACTTTGCTGCAGGGAAAGTGCAACTGAAAGCTGTAATACTGTTTCAATTACCCTTTTCTCCCCACCTCTGTCAGCGGTACACTAATGTTTGCAGTCTGGAGAAGCTGCTGCACAGAAATATCCATAAATAAATGCCAAATAAAAAGTCAGACATCAGGAACCCAAAATAGTTCAGTGCTATTCAATGTGCCTGTTATAATAAACATCTGGCTTGATTAAACATTAGCAGGATAGCGCTTTTAAACAAGACTTAAGACTCACTTTCGGTTACGGTAGTAGGCACAGAGGTCCCGTTCGAGTTCCAGTCTCCTCTTCTCACTGTTAACGAAAACGCATGAGCTTGTCAGTCACCTTCCCCTCGCATCCTGGGTAAAACATTTCTTCCGAGGATAAGAAGGAAAATGTATGGATAGGTGCTGAACGGAGCCCAGCATTTCTGTTGTCTTCAAGCCAGCGCCTGCAGTCGCCATCCTTAGCTACTTAGCAACCCGACACGCCGGCGAGCTGGACGGGCTGGCTCAAGCCGGCTAACTCGGCTAGCGCGCTAGCACATGCCACGAAACGCCCGTCTTCTAACTAGATAAGTAAAGACTGCAAGGGCGGTGAACTTTTCCTGCCCATTTTTACACATGCCATCGCAATTTCTTTTAAGGACCATCCGATCGAAACGAGCCGTAAGCCGTGCATTTATCAAATTCGAGCCCGGGGATTCAACTTGGGCCTACTCAGCTCAATTTAGAAATAAATTATAATACATTGACATCAGAACAAAACACACAACTGACGCGTACTTCTGGCGAAGATTCTCCAAGAGGGCACCGGTCTTCTCGAAGTACCGGCTGTCGCAGGAGGCCATGGGCTGTGTGTGGTTCTGACAGGCGGCGCCCGACTCTGCGGACGCTACATCGGTTGTCATGAGGACCGTTTCCCAGAAAGCACCGCTAGTAAACAACGGCAGCACGCGGGAGGGGAGCACGCGCGCCCCCCTCCACGTATCCGTCCATCCATCCACGGCACCCTGTCAGATCCTTTCCGTGCTTACGGATGCAGGGCTTTTACATGTTTAACAATACTGTTCAAAGTATATTTTATACGCCCGTTGCAGCTTGTAAGGAATTGCTTTATAAAATACCAGTGATTATTTATTATCAAGTCAAATATGCGACACTGTCCACAAATCTCTTTCTGTATCGTCAGAAAATGTACTGCTGAGCAGACTGATCCCTGCTTAGAGAAAATTATGTAGTATAATTAAAGTAGCTGATCTTTCATAGGGACTTCTGATATTGACAGGCTTGTTTTATTATCACATACTTGTTTAATGGTAGAAATTGTAATTAGCCTATTTTTTAAAAAAGTACAGTGTTTATTATTAAATATAGTATAACAAAATTCATTAAATGGATATAAAATATGAATCAATATAAAATATCCGTTTACATCTTAAATATTACAGTATCAGTTTTTGCCTGTGAGGTTGAATACCATGACTTGAGAGTTCAGGTACACCTTCTCAGCAACTCATATATTTGTAAATGAGATTTATCTAAATCACATTCGGTCAGGAAAATTGGGTTCAAGACAAATGGATGTATTAAAACATACGCGTAACTGGATTACTGAATAATATAGATCTAGTTAGTCAGAGAACACGGATAATGAACAGCAGTAGGTAAAGCATGCTCGATATTTACAAGGTCTTCACCTTTGTCCATGGCCCGCCCATCTTACCATCCATCCATTTTCTATTCTCGCTTGTCATTTTCTGTAATACTAATAGCACTAGATATCCGTCTATTTTGAAATGGGGGGGGGGTCGTGTGATGACATTTATTCTACAATTAAAGTCAGTTATTCATCAAACCATATAAATAAACGCTTCTAATATCCATGTCCCTGTGACTGTCACCGACTGGCTGGCTAATTGACGCTGGTTGCGCGACATTAGGCGTCCTGGGGTATGCAGCGTGTCCGGGCTGCCTGCGCAACCCGCGGGCTTAGAGCCGCATCATTCCGCTCCCCAGCGAGGCAGACATACAGCTGCTGCCTGCAGCCACCAGCTGTACACTATTATGGAAATTAACATACTTAAAGGGCGGATGCCAGCCCGTACTGTCGGCAGATGTCTTTTACCCTGATACTATACGCTCGCGTATTTATATATATATATTCGCGTGTGTGTGTGGTGATTGCAGACGGACCGTGAAAACAATACAGCCTATGTTCTACTCAAGTTACGACCTGCCATTCAGAACACTTCCCTTTGAACGTCAGGGATTCATCGAAAACATATGTTGCATTGCAGCTATTATATATGATAAACTACAAGAATTAAAGCAAGATTTGCATTTTTAATCAGAGAAGGCTTCCTATTATTCATCTATTTGTCAGCTATCGATATATGTAATGATATCCAGAGAAATATCCTGAGTGTTATTTATGCTGAACGTTTCTAACTTTTAACTTCAAGCAATACGCAAATGTTTCCACGTGGATCAGAAACACATAAGTTGTAAAGCGATACTGTATTTGCGGCAGGATTTGCGCACTTCCATCACCCGGTCCTTGTACAAATGGCGCATCAGCAAACGCGCATCCTTTTCGTGCCGGGGGACCTAAAGGGCTTCGCTTCGCAAACCTCGGGCTGCTTCTATTTTCCTCAAGACTGAACAAGATAACGGAACATGACAGGCCGTAAAAGACGCGTCGCTGTTTACTCGTCACAGAAACGTCTTTCGCTCCAGAGGGCGCGATAAGACCGGCCTGTCTCTTGTCCAGAGGTGATGCTGCTTTTTTTCATTTTTTAGTAATTTTCATAAGCAGCACAGCTCCCGTCGGGGTTGCTTTGCATTTCAAAAGTTCAGCCTTGTCGGCCCTAATGTCATGTTTTGACTACTCTAGTACTGCGATTTGTCTAGCTGCCAATCTGTCATGTTTCACAGCTGAGGTGCTTTAATTGTCAGCCCCTCCAAAGGCAGACCCTAATCAAGCAATTTCCCCTATCCCAGCCCCATCAAATTGCTCTTTAGCTGTTGAACTGTGGAGTTTTGCTCTCCTTTTCACATGCTAATAACACCCCATTCACTGTCCCTCCGTCAGGCTATTTGTTGTGGAATAAATCCCCTTCTGCATGTTTAATTGATATTGTTGCAGATCTTTTTGTTTGCACTGCAGAGCTGAAAGGCAATACTTTGGAGGTGATGAAGAGAGACGGGGAGAGACTCTGGGGATAATTTCACTTTGCGGGGATTTGAGAGGTTATGAGTTGAGTTGGTCTCAGTGCTTAAACCTCATAATAGCAGAAAGACTAGGATGGTCTGGACCTGAAAGCCTTAGCTTAGTCTTAAACTCAGTGAAATATAATTTAATATTTATGGTAAGACTTTACTTGAGGGGGCACAAATAATTTAGTTACTCAGTTACTACTCAAGAACAAATCATGAACTATCGTAGTTCCTGCATGAAATACATGAACCGTCATGAGTGATTAATGATGAACATAGGATCATTAAGTAACTAACACTTAGATACAACTTAATTAAGGCATTAAGTAAGAATGTAATACTACATAATTTGTGCCCCTCAAGTGCTACCATATTTATGATATTTAATGCTTTTTACACTTTTTTAAGCAAGACTTATAGCAATGCTAATAAACATTGTATTTGTCTTGTTTTATATAAATGTACATATAGCAAGTTTTATGTTTAATGGGTAACATTTTGGATACAATCATGTACACATGACAATCAATATCCATCCTTCGATCTCGCCGCCTCATAATAGCCTTTCAGGTAGCTTAGTGGAGTACACGTTAGACTAATTGCTCGAATGGCATCCTGATTAATTGAACATCTAGCATCAGGGTATTAGTGGGGCATTAGAGAAATACCTGATTTCCACTTTTAAATTGCCTTTGGGGAGGAGATGCTCAAAAATAAAGGGCAGATAATCTGCAAATTATCATCCCACAGCTTGCCTACTCAACTGTGATAACAAAAAGCATGTTTCTGGAGCCAGGAAGATATCATTTGTCAGAAGTGAGTTATATCTGCGAGCTCTGGGAGAGCCGAAATACATTATCCTGCTTTTGTCTTCATATATTCTTGCTATTTTTTGAACTTCGTTTAATGTTCATTACAGACAGTATTTTTGTTGGCTTTTCATCTAAAATTCCCCAGCACGAGATGAATGCTGGATCTGCTAAACAGATAAATAAAGGTGCAAGTAAATCATTTTCACAGATTTTTCAGTTTGTTTATTGCTGTTAATTAGCATGCAATTTGTCTAACTATCATCCCTACCCTGCTTTCTCTTACTTTGCCACCCATGTTCACACAGACACTGTATGTGTGTGTGTGTGTGTGTGTGTGTTTGTGTAGAACAGGTTTGCATTACATTGTGGGGACTAACTGTCCCTCACAATGTAATAAAAATCTCTTTTTTTTGACGTTGTGGGGACCATTTTTTTAGGTCCCCGCAAAAATCAGTGACTGCAATCAAAAAACTAAAAATACCAAAAGTCTTGTGTTTTATTTGTTTATTTATGGTTAAGGTCCAGGCTGGGTGGGGGTTAAGGTTGTCATTGTTGGGATTAGGGTTTTGCCATTGTGTGTGTGTGTGTGAGAGAGAGAGAGAGAGAAAGAGAGAGAGAGAGAGACAGAGCCAAAAATAACAGGCCAAATATTTCTGATGGAGAATAGCCAGGAAGATTGGGAAGACTTATGTCTCTCCCACATCTGAGTTTAAGCAAGTAATCCATGGCTTAGCAAGCAGGGTGAACCATTTTGGAATCAGGCTTGGTTCTTTGTGAGTGCAGAAATGTTTAAATTCAGGTCATAGGGGAATTCAGCCCTGCCATGTAAATGGAACAACAGACACTATAACTCTTTTCATCCTGAAAGTAATATCCAAACAGTTCCTCTCCAGTCTGGTGGTGCTGGGGCGGGTGGATAGAGCAATTAGTTAAGTGCTGTCAAGTGGATAAAAAGGTACGAAATCCAATTTTTGCAATTTCATGGCAAGTAAAGTTAATAAAGTAACGTGGAGTGGATGTTGAGAAGGGCGGCTGTCTGGATGATGTCCGTCGTGAGCTAAGTCTTGTGAAGGAATCGGATCCAGCGGTATCACAGAGGTGTGTGTCGCGTTTCCGCACCCGCGCTGCAGCAGATGCTAATTGTCGCTAATTTATGTCCTTGCCAGCGATCGAAAGACGACTATGCCAAACGAGGACCCTCCTTACTGCGGCCGAGTGCACCTTGTCTGGTGCCTGAATGGGACAGGTTTAAATTTAATTTGAAAACAAAGGACCCCCGACGGGGATCTTTTCATCGTAGCTAATTGTAAAGAATAATTTCTAATGTTCCACTGAAGCAGGCTCCAGTGGCTGTAAAGCAGTTTAATTGTGCTAAATTGATCTGAATTGAAAGCACTCTGGTAAAAACATGGGGTGACACAGGACGACAGCCCACCTGTAAAGTCCGCTCGGTAACACCCAAGTGCGAAAGCTCTTACTGAGCCATTAATAAGGAAATGCAGAAAACAAACACTGAAATAAAGCCTTTTGATAATAAACATGTTTTGCCATCATTCTTTAACGGGGCATTGATGTAATAATTAACATAATAGTTTTTTTTATGCATCTATCTGCTCACATTTGGCCACATATGTAACTTCCACCATTGTGCTCTGCCAGCTGGGCTTCTCTGCGTTGTCATGATAATCTGGTCGTGTAAAAAAGGCAGTGACCCCCTATATAGGCGAAGCCGGCTTTCAGATGGCAGCCACCAGGAGTATTACCTGCAAAACAGTACAGCTGTCCTCAGTTGTACTCAAGTAAAATCCAAGACAAGTCAAGTGGACTTCACTGTCATACCATCCAGATACAGGTATAAAAGTGACACTAAACAGTGTCCCCCAAAACC